TCTAATAGCTCAGGAGAGAATTGCATTGTATCAGTTTTAGGAAGGAAGAGAGGAAGGAAGGAAGGAAGGAAGGAAAGAAGGAAGGGAGGAAGGACTGAAACTTAGCACAGTTAGTTAGCTCCAAGGGTATTCTGGAGCTTCACTCAACAGAAGAGTGTTTTGAAGTATTTCTTCCCCATCTGGAATCACAGAATAAAGTGAAATGATTAATGAGAAAAAAAGTTCTTCATCAGCTGTTGAGGTCAGGGAGAGAGATGGGGAAGTTAGAAGCACTTGGAGTCTTTCATTTCTAAGTTAAATTCAGACAGTTCCTCAGAGATAGCCAAATGCCAAGCTACAGTTTAATTTTTACACTAAAATTTTAAAGATTAGTTGTTTTAATGCATATTTTCTCTGATTCAACTTGTCCACAGCTTTGCAGAGAAGTGATACAATCAATGGCTTTCTCGGTGATATCTTTTATTTATTTTTATTTTTATTAATTTTTGATAAAATTATATACTTACTTAGTTTAAAATTTAAATAATAGGTGAATTTGAATAATAGATGTAAGGTAAAAATGTACTTATACTATTTTGACACCTCTTAAGAGTCTTTATAGAACGTATAAGAGATGATTGTCAAAGTTTCAGAAAAAAAAACTTGAATGATAATTAAGAGAATTCTCTAAGGTGATAGAGCTGATAAATGCAATTACTTCATTACTAGCTTAGATTCTAGGCATACGAATTACACTTTGAGTAACAGCATAGTGTTATTTTGGAGAATAGATAAGGTGGGGCAGGACTTTTGATAGCAAAAGTCATGGAAGCACAGGAAGGTGGGTTTACTCCTCTCCTGGCACATTCTCATTCACACTTATCCTGGAAAATAAGATATAATAAAGAAATTCCAGGTTTATATATGGAAAAGTACAAATAACATTCTACAACACTAATCCCAGGATTCAAAAAGAAACCATAAATAAAACCCAATGGGCTCTGTTTCTCATATTTCAGAACAGCTGAAAAGAGATGTGGTCGTTCCTGTGGAGAAGGGAATGCCAAAGGGCTAGTAACATGAGAATATCCAGGAAATTGTATAGATGCCCTGAAATAGCAGTTGAAAAGTATGATATTAGATGCAGGTAAAGTCAAAACAGAATCTGGTGATAAAGAAGAGAGTGAGAAGAAGTCTCAGTGGAGATTTTCGTGTCCATGATATTAGTCACTTGTCCTTTTTCATTTCTTCAGACAAAGTGGGAGAGTAAGGAATGGTGTGACTTCTCACATTTCTTCTCCATCCACAGAATTTTCTATGTGAACATCTCAGTGGGTAGAGCTGAGTTCTGGGCTATTTACCAGAAAACTACTTGTCTTTGCCCATTCCATGGCTTGTGCCACTCACTGAAAAAGGAGGAAAAAGTAAAAGTCAGAGAAAAAGAAAACACAAATGGGAGAAAAGCAAAAATGTCAGGTGCAAATTCATCTCTGCCATCCTGAATCTGTCAGCATGATGAGAACATATCCCTGGAAAGGGATAGAAGGGTATTGTGAGGCATAGATGCTACAGTTACAGATAAAATCATTCACAAGAGAATTAAAGGTGCAGTTAAAAGCCAGCAGGTGGGCCCAGAGACCAGACAACCCAAAGGCTTCAGTTTTCATATCACATGCCACTTGTATGACTTTCAACAAACTACCTCCTCTCAGGCCACTCAGGTTAGGTGTGGTTATTGGACTAGAATATGCAGGTCTAATTGTTGTTCTGACAAAGTATATGACCCACTCTGACTAATCAGAATTCCAAAATGTGAGTTGGGTAAGGTGGTACACACCTGTAATCCTAGCACTCAGTAGGCCGAGGCAGGAACATTGCAAGTTCTGGGTCAGCCTAAGCTACACATCAAGATGTGGTCTTAAAAAAAAAAAAATCAAAGGCTGTGGATGTGGCTCCATGGTAGATTTTCCTAGCAGGTGCAAGACCTTGGGTTCAATCTCCCGCACTGCAAGTACCCCCACCCCCCCTGCCAAAACAAACAAAACCAAAAAAAAAGCTACAACTAATTCAGAAATGTAAAGGTCAGTGGCCTAAAACCTAAGGCTTCATAAATGAATCAAAGATGGTGACAGCCAGGCATGGTGGCACATGTCTGTAATCCCATCTACTTGGGAGACAGAGGTAGGAAGAGCACAGGCTGAGGCTGACCTGGGTAAAAAGCTTGAGATCTTATCTGAAAAACTGACTCAAGCGAAAGGGCTGGTGGTATGTCTCAGGTGGTAGAATGCTTGACTAACAAGCATGAGATCCTGAGTTTAAAACACCAGTACCACCTAAAAAGAAAAAAAAACCAACAAGAAGGATGGCTACTATTTTACAAAACAAAGGGGGTTGAGCAAAGGCATTGAGGCAGGCAGGAGCTAGTCATTCAGTGTAAAATAAGAAAAACTGTCTAAAATGACCCTCAGCAGTTCAATTTTCTGAATATTAAATGTATATCATGAATTAATGATATGTATAGTTTACTAAAGAGTATCAAGATATGGGCTGTCCATGTGAAATGGTTTTATTTTTATGGTGATTGTCATAAACAACATCACTCAGTTGACTCCTTCACTTTCTACGGGATAGCTGACTTCACTAATTTGTCAATCACGTCCTGTTTGAGAATGTTCTTTGGGCTAATAAAATTGTTCTCCCTTTTTAAACTGAAGTATCACTTTGCACACAAAGGCCTGTTTGTATTTAATTTCAGTCATATTTTACTTAAAAATCCTCCCCTCTTTTTTTTTATAACCCCGGCCAACAGTCAGCACTAGCACCTCAGAGAAGAATGGAAAGGGCTGGTTTGCCCCTACCCCCTCTTCCCTGTTGTCTCCTGTCTTGCCACTGGGGATGTGAGGAGGGAGAGGAACAGCACACTGGTGAGGTGGCCTCTCTTCTCAGCCGGTGGTAGCTTCTGCTCTGGGCCTTTGTGTGACTCATTTAAACAGATGGTAGCCAGCTTCCCTTAGCCTGGGTACCTACTCAACTTTATCTCAGCTAGTGACCTTATACTGAATTCCTAATGTCTGTGACTCTTTGTCCTATGATTCACAGTAGCCCCTAAACTTGTCCACCCTCCCTGACTCTTAGTCTGGGACTTGTACCTATGGGTAGAATCCATCTTCCAAACTCCTGAGAAAGCTGCAATACAGGAAGCAAGACATGACTTTTCTCTGTCTCCAAACTCACCACATCATCTCTCCCAAGGCTCCCCCTTGTTAGCATACTGCTGGTCAGCAAGTCCCATGGCTGAGTGAGCATCCAGCCAAGAAGCCAGAAATCAGTTCTCCCTGTTAGAAGGTACCTCTTTCCCCCTTGGCTTTGGGGAAGAAAACAAAATACAAACACACCCTCTTACCCAGAGGAGGCCAGATGAGAGGGTATATTCTCTTCACAACCCCTTCCTTCCTCATAATCATAACCCACCTTTCCTCTCAGACCCCCTCTTAAATAACGGAGGGTCAGGAGAGGGAAAAGCAGGAGTTCTATTTCTGCTAATGTGAGACCTCTCAGAAGTTCCTGTTGGGAGAGAGCAGGTCCCCTCAGAATGTGTGAATTTACAATGAGTTTTGAGGAAATAGGAAAAACCCCACTATAAAATCTAAAACTACACTTCTACATTCATGTGTCATGGGAACAGATTTTGCAGGGTCCAAAAGGAGTGCTAAGCAAAGAAGATGGGCTGAGACTCTGGACCAAACTGATGAAGAGACATTGATGAGCAGTCATGTCTTTTATAGTTTGAAGTGTGCATTCCTGTGCAGGTATATGTGTATCTAAATACATGCGCTAATAAAATAGCCAGTAAGTAAATACTCCAAATATAGTTAATGTCTGCACTGAATGTAAAAATTTGAGGTGATTCTTATTTTCTTCTTAATACTTACCACTTTTCTACTTTTTTCTCAACTAGCAACATGTTTCTGATATCAAAATAAAATAACTGTCTTGAAATCAAAATTTCTAACAGTGTTAAAATGTTTTTTATAAGATATCTGGAAACAGAAACTTACATTTAAAGTGACTGGTAACTGGGGCTGGGGCCATGGCTCAAGTGGTAGAGCACTTGCCTAGCAACCACAAGGCACTGAATTCAAACCCCAGTACTGTCTAAAAATGAAATAAAATAGAATAAGAAATTAAATGACTGATAACCTGATGACAATATGACATTTTGGGACTATATGTCAGATTGCATTGGGTGCTAGGTTTTTGCATCACACCAGTTTTTACATTGTGTCAGAACAATTTCCTATATAGAGCATAGGACCAATGTATAGCAATGTATAGCATATTAACTTAATTTCCCAATGATGAATGGTTTTCTGGAAAGCAATTTTGTAATTTTTATTAAGAGCCATGAAAATTTTCACAGCTTTTGACCCAACCATGGGAAACTTTGAAAATACATAAAGATAATAAGAAGAAAATAAAAACCACTGCTAACTCTACATTCCAGATTACAGCCATTGTTGGCATTTTGATGTTTTCAGTCTTGATATATATATTTGTGCAAGTAACAAAAGTAGAATTATGTTTTTTGTATTTAATATCTAACCCACTTTTCTCATTTATCTATCACTATATCATGAGAAATCTCCATGTTAATACTCATAAAGGGTTCTTTGATGACTATTTTTGATATTTCCATTATGGAGACACTCTTATGAATTGCAAATCTATAAAACTCATGCCTTGATAGTGTCAATCTTATCATTTTCATCAATCCCAATGCTAATTTTAACCATGGAAGCCAAAGTTTCCTCTGAGGTTTGTTTACCTGGACATATTGGGTGAATGATACCTGTTCCCCTGACAGACTCTAATTCATTCCAAAGTTCCCATCAGTGAAGTTGCTGGATTTGTTTACATGTCAAAAACATGAAGAGAGGAAAAGTAACTATCCACATTACTAAGGACACCTGAGATCTTCATATTCTTACTCCTCCACTTGCCCAGGTGACTCATCAGACTGAATGGAGAGAGTCAACCGCACATTAGTCACTGAATTTATCTTCCTGCAATTTTCTACCTCGTCACATCTACAGTTGCTCTTCTTCTCCCTTTTCCTCCTGGTCTACCTCCTGTCCTTGGTAGGCAACACACTCATCGTGCTTATTGTGGCCCTGGATGGCATCTCCACACTCCCATGTACTTTTTCATCTGTAATCTCTCCTTGGTAGAGCTCTGGTACACCACAGTCACTGTGCCCAAGATGCTGGCCAATTTTCTAAGTTCCAAAAGGGTCATCTCAGTTTCCAGCTGCATTACCCAGTACTATTTCTTCTTCTCCTTGGCTGCCACTGAGCTCTTCATCCTCACCACCATGGCCTTTGACCGCTATGCTGCCATTTGTCGCCCACTCCATTATCCATTGTTACCCAGTCCCCAGACTTGTGGGACTCTGGCTGGGATCTGCTGGTCTGTGGGATTCCTTTGCCCCATTTTTCCTTCCCTCCTCCTTGCACAAATTTCTTTCTGCACACCAAGCCAGATCAATCACTTTTTCTGTGATGCTGATCGGCTTTTCCACCTTTCTTGCACAGACACATATACCATCCATGTGGTGGGATATGCTTTTAGTACTGTGATTATACTAGGAGCCTTGGGCTTTACCATGGCTTCTTATGCCCGAATCCTGGTCACAGTCCTAGCCATGGCCTCAGCTGCTGCCAGATATAAAGCCTTTTCCACCTGTACAGCTCACCTTTCTGTGGTAAGCATCCACTTTGGCACTCTCATATTCATGTATGTCAGACCAGCAGTAAAATATGAGTCAAATATCAACAAGATTGTGGCTGTCTTCTACTCAGTCATCACCCCACTTCTCAATCTTCACATCTATACACTCCGCAACAAGGATGTCAAGAAAGCCCTGAAAGTATTGGTGTCCCATATCCAAAAGGCCTGCCATTCATGCAAGGAGACTCAGTGATGGTCTTACTGGATCCAGGTCACTGTGTTAGGTGCCAGAAGGTCCTTGAGCTCATCAGAGAAAGAATTCACGGAGGAGATTTAAACAGGAGCAGGTTTATTACTGCAAAGCAAAGTGAAAGTATACTCTCATCTCTCACAGAGAGATTGGGCAGGCTGAAGAGACAGCTCTGGTGAGGGTACCAAGACCTCAAGTTTTTACTGGAGTCTGAAGACATGGAGATTTTCAGTCTTGGAAAACTGTGTATGTGTCATTAACTCCTCTCACATATTGGGTGGGGAGTTTTTGGCCTTGGATGGTCAGACTGTGGCTTTTCATTTTTCTACAGGCTTCAGGGGTTGTGAGTCATCAAGTTATTGTGTTAATGTCAGCAGATCACTGTGTGATTTTTAAAAAATTAACATCTAAGCCCTAATTCTCAGACATCATGCTTTCTAATTTCCTGCCTTGCCCTTTTATCATTCCTCCCTTGAGGAATACAGACACTTATATTCTTATAAGGGAGTAGGACTGTAGATATTTTTTTCAAAAACTACTTCCTACCTAACAGGGGTGTTGGCACTACCCATGGGTTCACCTTTTCTCCTTGCTGCCTATTAGGAGTAATGACTGGGATTGAGATACTAGAACTTAACAATGTGGTGGCCTGATCTAGAGTTCCTGGTTGTTGATAACACTTACCTTGTGGTGTTAGCTGAAAGCTTTGGCATACTATCATTTAAAATATAGGTGAACTGCTGAAGCCCAACAGTTGGATTTGTTGTGGGTTGACACTATGGTCATTGCCAACTGCAAGAAGAGTTTCCGCTCCACTGTGACTGGCAACAGCAGCAATCTGTGGGTGAAGAGAAACATTTATATAGTAGTTTCATTGCCATATCATATCCATTTAGCAAAACAATGGCTTCCTCTTGGGGTCTATGACTTTCCCAGACACAGGTTTCTACCCAGGCTTACAGTACCAAGAATGGGTCTCCTCCCATGGAGAAGGCCTAAGATCCAATCAGAATCACAACAATACTAGTTGTGCCACTATTGTACTGGTGGGTATATCCTGTAGGACATACTGATAAAGTAACACATGGGTCCCCTAGCCTAACTGGCCCATTGGGGACAATTCTCTGTCAGAAGTCTCCATAGTATCCTCCAACACTACAAATGCTAGCCAGTAGGGAGCAAGTTTCCAGTTCAGTTGCAGTTTGATTTCCCCATGTCCTGTGACCAGAGCATGTTGGTGTTCTTAGCAATAGAACTGCTAACTAGTTCTGACATGTAACCAAGAACAGTGGCAATAGCCTATATAATGTTGGGGAGCCTCAGGGCCCTTCTAGCCATGAACTCAAAAGGATGTAGCCCACCCCTGGCACTGGGTTTTTTACTAAACAAATGTACAGCTTTTGGATGCATTCTTTTCCCTCCTTAAGAACCATGATTTTGTCTCTCAGTAGACCTAAACTTCTTGAACTTTACAGTCAGTCCAAGTCAAGTTAACTGGGGTGATGTCACATTTCTGGGCAGAATCACTACCACTTGAGCCATTCTACCAACCTGGTGTCACATTTCTGCATGTTATGGCAGGATTGGGAGATACATAAGATAAGCCTGTGAGAGGAAATCATTCTTCCCTGGATCCTCTAACAGTAAATAAAATGGGTGGAACAAAACATTCGAATGTCCAGCAGAAATCTGGTATAGCCTGTAAGGAACTACTTGGCTACTGTGCAAGAAAAGTAATCACATGATTCCTTATGCCACCACCATGGAAACAGTGTGAAAAATAGGTATTAGACAAACTAGCAAGACAAGTAGGGACCTGACAAGTGCACAGGCTAAAAAGATCCTTGTGTTCTGCAGCAACTTCCAGTACACAAAGGAGGGAAACTTCTAAAGTAAAAGCAGCACAAACACAGACAACTTACCCTTGATCAGTTCCACCCTCAACCAACACATAATACCAATGTGTACAATAGGATTTACAAGAGACCCTAGCTAATTTCCCTCTGTTTGAGTGGTACTGGGGATCAGTAACTGTGCCCTGAGCACATGGAAAAATTTTAGGCCACTGGTATCCCCATTCCAGTGGTGAAAAACTATGACCTTGCCACTACACAATGCTTCCTGAGCACTGAGAATGCTTCAACTGAACTAATAAAGGTGATTAAAATCTGCAGTCAATATCTTGGCCTTAAGTGGGCAAATCCCAAGGCAGAAACATACAAAAATTTTAAAAAGGCAGCATGATTCCTTCAAAAGACAGATACTCCACAAGAATAGACTCTAAAAAATGTAAAGTGGATAAAAACCCGACAGTAAATTCAAAAGAATAATTGTAAGAATGGGCAGGAAAGTTAAAGAGAACTATATAAACACCTGAATGAATTCAAAGAGAATACAAATAAACAGCTCAATTAAGTAAGAAAGTATGCAGGACATGAAAGAGGAATTTAATAAAGGCACAAAGAGCTTGGAAAGATCAAACTGAAATCCTAGAAATGAAAACCTTAATAAGTCAATCAAAAACCTCAGTTGAATGTCTAATCAATAGACTAGATCAAGCTGAAGGTAAAATATCAGAATTTAAAGACGAGGAACATGAATTAGAACATTCAGACAAAGATAAAGATAAAAATAAGAAAGTACAAATGAAAATGCAAGACTCCTGGGTCACCATTAAAAGAATACACTTGAATCATGGATGTAGAAGAAGAGGTACAGCTAAAGGCATAGAAAACATATTTAATAAAACAGTAGAAGAAAATCCCCAAGTTGTGAGAAAGAGATGATTATACAGACACAGGAGGCTTTTAAGACACCAAACAGATGCAAACAGGAATTTTCTCATGTCATGTTATAGTTAAAACATTAAGTACACAGAACAAGGAAAGGGCATTGAAGGCTACAAGAGTGACACATCACACCATATATAAAGGCAAACACATCAAAATAATAGCATTCTCAATAGAAACTCTAAAAGCAAGGAGGGCATGGAGTGATTTATTTCAAACCCTGAAAGGAAACATCTGCCTATCTAGATTATTGTATTCAACAAAGCTAACTTTCATAACTGAAGGATAAAAGAGAAAAACCTTCCTTAATAAACAAAAAATAAAGTAATTCATGGTTACTATGCCTGAACTGCCAAAGATATTAAAAGGATCCTACAACCATGAAAACATGGGAAAACATACGTCTCACTAGAAGAGTAAACAAATGAAGAAAGAATAAAAAAAAACAAAATGACAGGAGTTACTACAGACTGTTCAATAATAACTTTGAATGGTAATGGTCTCAATTCTCTAATCAAAAGACATAGATGATAGCTTGGCATGGTGGCTCAAGCCTATAACTCCAGATATTCAGGAGGCAGAAATTGGGAGGATCATGGTTTGAGGTCAGCCCAGGGGAAAAAACGTAGTGAGATCCCCATCTCAACAAATAATCTTGGTGTGGTGGCATGCACCTGTGTTCCCAGGTAGGTGTCAGGTGTAAATAGGAGGATGGCAGTCCAGGCTGGCCCTGAGAAAAGTGTAAGAACCTATTTGAAAAACAACTAAAGCAAAAAGGACCAGGAGTGTGGTTAAAGTGGTAGGTTGCTTGCCTAGCAAAAGTGAAGTCATGATTTCAAACCCTGGTACTCTCCCTCTACAAAGAAAGACAAAATACACTAGAAACTAAGATGGTGTATTAGAGACACATCATTTTGAGCAAGAAAAACCAAGTTTAGAAAGACAAATAACACACTTTCCTTCATATTGTTTAATTTAGAACTATAAAATAATAATGTAACAAACAAAAAATTGGAGGAAGGAGCCAGCAGGAAGGGAATGTAAAAGGGATAAGGTGATTGGGGGTGTGAATGTGATCGAAGTACATTATATCCATGTATGAAATTTCATACTAAACCCCATTAAAACAATAAAAATAAGATGGCAAGGTAGGAGGAAGGGATGGAGGGAGGAATATGATGTAAGCACATTATATGCATGTATGGAAATATCACAGTGAAATCTCTTTGTACAATTAATTTATGCTAATAAGAATACCCTAAACTTGTGGATTCAGGAAAGACCAGGGATAGCCCATGCAATCTTTATAAAGAACAAGCTTGGAGGCTACACATTTCCTGATTTCAAAATGTGTTACAAAACTGTAGTAAATACAACAGCTGGAGATTGCATGCAGATAGGTGCATATCTCAAGGGCATTTCCCATGTACTGTGGCTTTGGTCTAAAATAAGAGAGAGGTTGTTTCAAGGATGGTTTTAAGATATCACATTTGTAAAATTGTCTAAGCTTCAATTAGAATTCTATGTCCCTCATTTATGTTAAAAAGAACTTTATTGGTATCAATCATTTCAGTTGCATCATCTTGGACTAAAATTATAAGAGTGGGAAAAATCCATGACTGGGTTTTATAATTCTATGTACCCCCCAGTTTTCTTTTGAATGAGATTTTCTATTATTTCATCCTACATTATCATTATGTGTTGAGTGTGTGATAAGTTGGCTCCTTAGTGCAAAGATGATCAGAGCTAATGACATCCTACTTGAAAAGTCATGTCTAAGAAGTCCCATCTGTATTTTGTCCTGATTTTGATGAAAAAAAATTAGACTGTGAGTTGATGCTTTATTGAGATGAGATTTTAGAATTTTGGGGAGGGCTAGTAGTTATGCTTTATAAATGGGGAGAATATAAATTATTAGTAGTCAGAAGTGGGATTGTAGTGGATTAAGGATGTCCATGAAGATTTTTGACACTCCTTCCTTTGAAGTGGGGTCAATTTCCTCTTCCCACAAAGCTCAGCTGGCCTGTGACTATTTGGCAAATAGAATACGGCAGAAGTTATGTCAGTGCTGGTCATGATTATGTCTTTGAGATAACTGGCAGTTTTCGCCCTGGTTTATTGTTCCATGAAAAAATTTGACCCAAGGCTTCCTTGATGAAAAACAAATGCTCACCACATGGGGCAACTGGATAAGGACAGAGAGAAACAGAGAGG